TTAAATACTGGTATGAAAAAGCCGGACATGGTGGCTCATGCCTGTAATCCCAGCACTTTGGGAGGCCAAGGGTGGTGGATCAAGAGGTCAGGAGTTCCAGACCAGGCTGGCCAACATGGTGAAACACTGTCTCTACTAAAAATACAAAAATTAGCCAGGCGAGATGGCAGGCACCTGTTTTCCCAGCTACTCGAAAAGCTGAGGAAGGAGAATCGCTTCAAACTGGAAGGCAGTGAGTGAACTGATTGCACCACTGCACTCCTCCAACCTGGGTGACAGAATGAGACTGTCTCTCAAAAAAACAAAACAAAACAAAACAAAAAAAACCCTCCGCTCCAGATAACTTCTAGCCAACCTATGGATAAATTAGTTGTCTCTGAAAAGACGTGCAAATCAGTTCTAAGAGACTGTGGCCTTTCTTTCTTTGCTGCCCTTTAATAAAAGCGGCAAAGCACTGTCCCAATACTCCTTTATTCACTAATTTATTGAATGAATGCTTGCACAGTGCTTTTCAGTTTATTAACGTGCTTTTCAATGCATATCTCACTTACCCCCATATCAATCTGGAGGTATTACTGTCACTATTTGACAGATAATGAAGTGGGGGATTAGAGAGATTAGTGGACTTACTCATGATCCAGGCAATTAGCACCCAGTCTTCCGATGTGAAGCCCTGTGTTCTTTCTGCTTCCTTCACCAGAGCTCCCAACTCTACTACCTTGCTTTAAAATAACCATGTGTTTCAACTAATTTCCACTTAAGTCTAAAGTAACTCTGGCATATCTGACAGTTCCCAGGTACCATATTTACATTTACATGGATATCGTCATCCTAGAATATAGTCAGCAAGAGGACAAAAATAAATATATCAAGTAATAGAATTGGAATGTAAATGGGCACACACACAAGTCTTGGGATCTAATTTTAGAAAGAAACAGCCAAAAAGTCCCACACAGCACAGTGAGCATCTGGCCCCGTGGGAGGCTGCCCACACTGTTTAAACCTCAATTAGCCCAGGCAGAAAAGGGATCCTGGAATCCTGACTGGCATCTTGAGAGGCAACAGTTGGGCAAAGAGCAGAATGACTTTTCATCATGTTCTCCCAGAAAAATGCTAATGCTTAGAGTAAAAAAAGGTAAACCTCGAAATAATTAGGTTTTACTGAATGGCTGAAACCCTGCAAGGGTTCACCACACTCTGTGACTATGGCAATGATTCTCACAGCAATGATTCTCATGTGGGAGCCAAGGGGAAGTGGATATAGGTAAGCAGGGCCCACTGACCCCAGCCCAGGAGTTGATTGGTATAGGGGTCATATAAGGCTTCAAGGCCTAATCAAGTCATCACAGGCTCATTCACCTAACCAACATAGGTGGCTATAACCTCCTTCACAATTAAGTAGACTTTTAAAAGATATTGTGTGTGTGTGTGTGTGTGTGTGTGTGTGTGTGTGTGTGTGTACACTCCTTCTTAAAACTCCATCTCAAAAAAAAAAGGTATATATATATATATCTTTTTTTTTTGAGATGGAGTTTTGAGGAGTTTCATTCTTGTTGCCCAGGCTGGAGCACAATGGCACAAACTCAGCTCACTGCAACCTCCACCTCCCAGGTTCAAGCGATTCTCCTGCCTCAGCCTCCAGAGTGGCTTGGGCTATTGGCACATGCCACCTACACCTAGCTAATTTTTAAATTTTTTGCAAAGACAGGGTCTCACTATGTTGCCCGGGCTGGTCTTAAACTCCTAGGTTCAGACAATGCTCCTGCCTCGGCTCCCCAAAGTGCTGAGATTACAAGAATAAGCCACTGTGCTTGGCCTTAAGCAGACTTTTAATTAGTCTTCCTGGTTGCCAATAATCACAAGAATATAAGTTCCATTATGGCAAGAGATCGTGTCTCTTTTGTTCACTGAAATATGCCAACCCTGCAAAATAGTGCCTGGCACTTACTGTGTCCTTCAATAAATAGTTGTTGAGTAAATGAATTTGACAGATAATGAAGTGGGGGATTAGAGAGATTAGTGGACTTACTCACTAATGATCTGGTATTGGGATGAATCCTCCTGGATCCAGGCGGAAGAGCGTAAGGTGCCACAGCCCAAGAACTGGCTTCCATCAACTCAGTCATTTGCTTCCTCATTTTCTCTTTAAAGACATACAACACTGTAGTTCAAGCTTGCTGAGATCTAGGGTTGGGTCTGGTATATCTTCTTTCACCAAATTCCTATTTTATATCACCACTCCTAACTGTGCCTCCAACGCTCCATTATCCACCCCCTCAACTCCCCCACCCTCCCTAACACTTCTACTCAGCTTCTAATGTGTAAGTACATCACACATTATGTACTTGACCCCACCTCATCCTGTGTAGTAACAATAGCGTGTCTATTCTGCCAGGCATGTGACAGATAATAGGGTACCATGATAAGACACAACTTCTGCCTTCCAGATGCTCACATCTTATGAGAGAACCAGCTATGTAAACAATTAGAATACAATGTAACAAGTATCATGGAGGTGCCACGGCCACAGTTACAAACTAACAATCCTTGGGCCAAATCCAACCCATATGGTGATTTAATATCCAGTCCATAGGATGATTTAGTTTTCTTGATCAGTTGCTAACCTCTAAAAATGTGTTGCTTTCACATAAAATTTTAGACTGCCAGCATCTATTGAAGAATTACATCTGGAAATATTGGGCCTGTATTCTCTACAGCACCAACCAGCTTTCGCTAAATAGTGGTTGTCCCTTTAGAGGGGCCATGTGGCCTCCAGTTCCCAGTCCCCCTGCCCTAACCCGCTCCCCTAGTTTCTTCCAGGCAATGAGGCCAAGGGGTCAGCTGCTAGTTTCTCTAGCCCAACACAGATGCTATCTTAAAGTAATGATTCTCCATACTCATACTTGTAAAGTGAGAAAATGAAAGATAAATGGATAAGGCCATGTGGAGAGCTTAAGAAAATGGTGGAGAATGCATTTCCTATGAAAATGAAGAATATTACTACCTAAATAATATGTAAGTAAAGTGTGCCCATGGCAGGTACCTGGCTCATTTGCTCATGCACCTGCCTGATCCCCATTAGGCTCCTCAGCATGGGTCCCTTCATCTGTTGTAAACCTACTATGGGCCAGCAAGCCAAATGCCAGGTTTCCTGCTGTCTGGGAACTCACTGTCCACTGGGGGAGAAAGACATGTGAAAATACAATTCACATATAATGGGATATGTTCTACAACCGGTACTATGGAAAGCGAGAGGAAGGACCACTAAGTCAGCCTGGAGAAGTTACAGAAGAGCTAAGCCAAGGGATGACCCTGAGGCTGACGCTTACAAAGTTTTTTCAAATGGACAGAGGAAAGTGAAAAGGGGCTCTGTGTAAGCTGCCAAAAGCAGTGCCCTGGCAGTAAAAGTATGGCTCATCAGAATTACCCACCTTCCACAATCCACAATGAAGCTGGATCATTTCCCATAATTCCAGGCGATTCGGAAAAGTTTCCAGGAAAGTAAGGCCAGTAAATGATCCCTTCCCATAGGAAGGCTGCAGAAAGTGCAGGTCACCACTGAGAGCTTATGTCCAATTGTGTAATCTAACCTTACATCACCAGCATGCCTTGCTGGCATTTATTCAGCAGAAATAAAAACCCAGAATCCTACCAGATTTTGAAACTTCCCAGTCCCTTGCTTCAGCTAACATAAAAAGTTCTACATTAAGAATATAAAGAAATGCACAGAAACTAGTCTGGCATCAAAGAAAAAAAGTTCCTCTTTCATTTCTTGCTACTGGGACAAATGCCAAGGAAGGGGATTCCCAAATCAAGACAGGAGAAAGGGTTGGCATTCAACAGAAGAAATACGGAATATCAAATCCTTGGTCATTAAGGAATCACTAACTTTTTTTTTTTTTTTTGACAGTCTCTCTGCTGCCCAGGCTGGAGTGCAATGGCACGATCTCAGCTCACTGCAACCTCAGGCTCTCAGGTTCAAGTGATTATCCTGCCTCAGCCTCCTGAGCAGCTGGGATTACAGATGCATGCCACCACACCCAGCTAATTTTTGTATTTTTAGCAGAGATGGGGTTTCACCATGTTGGTCAGGCTGGTCTGGAACTCCTGATCTTGTGATCTACCCACCTCGGCCTCCCAAAGTGCTGGGATTACAGGTGAGAGCCACTGCGCCCAGCCAGGAATCACTAACTCTTAAACAGCATTTCTTCAGATTTTTTTTTTTTTTTGCACCCACCTCTTCAGTCAGAGTCAAAGAGGAATTCTTGCCATTGAGGTGATTCTCGGCCTGAGCTGACTCCTGTTGAGCTCGGCGACCCATCTTGGCCCTCTGTAAGGAAAGACAGAAGGCACTGCTAACCCAAATGTCATTTGGGCCACTATAAAGATGACAATCCTGGGAAAGTAAGCAAGGACTAGATTTATGATGATGTGGTGGAGAATGGGATTTGAGTTATGTGGACATGTTTGTAGAAAACCCTCTAAAACCCCTAAAACAAAGCACCTGAGGTCAGTTCTATTTCACAGGAAAATAGGAAATTAAGACAGGGTCTGACTCTGTTGCCCAGGCTGGACTGCTCACTGCAGCATCCAACTCCTGGGCTCAAGTGATCCTCCTACCTTGCCTTCCTGAGTAGCTGGGACAAAAGGTGCATACCATCGTATCTGGATAATTCATTTATTTCACTTTTTTGTAGAGATGGGGTCTCCCCGTGTTGCCCAGGCTGGACAGGGTTTTAACAGCTATAGAGATGGCAAAAGAAAATCTGTTCTCCCCAAAGAAATGCAGTTAGAAATTCCTCTAGAACAGGTCAGAGAAGAAGGTGGTAAAGGCTCCACGTTCCTATGCAGAATTTTAGGAAGGCTTAATTTCAAATCTGCAGCTTGGCATGAAAATCATTATCAAACAGGCTTTTGGAAAGAATTCCTAAATTCCATGGCAACTGGAAAACAGCATTTGCTTTGATATATACAGTAACTGGATTTGCCTTTACAGGCATTAAAGAACATCTAGTACAAGAATTTTGAGACATTATCTTTGGAAATTAGAGCACTTCAAAATTCTTAGCCATCAAATGAACTACTTGCAGGTGTTTCCGTAGGCCGTGGAGACTCTGCCTCCAAGGCTTCCCAGCATATAAACAAAACTTTTATTTAGTCAGACTCTTGGGTGTTGAAATATTTACATTTACATTATTGCTTTCTTTCTTTAGAAAAACAGCATTAACATTAGCACTTTTAGATCTCATTTAATGTGGCTTCCTTTGAGTCTCACAGTAACAGGGACAGGAGCTGTGAATGACGCCATTTTACAAAGGAGGAAACTGAGGTCCAGGAAGGTGATGAAGTGGCTCACATAAACCTAGGAGCAGAGCCTTCTGATTTCAGATCCTGGGTTTCCTGGGTGCTTTCCACTATACCCTGCTGAAACTTGTTTTAAGATGTTCTAAGAATTGACTGTACCAATAAGTTGAGAGGGGTTACAGAAGAGCTCATAAAAACTCTGGTGCAGTGTTTACACTTCAAATTGTAGTGTCAATCATTTAGGTTTCAGGGATGATGGAAACAATCCTTCCGATAATAAGCAGCTTATTTTCTTCTCAAGGCAGATAATTCCACCCTTTCACTATGGTTGCCCCTTCCTTAGCATCCTGCATATAGTGGTTGTGCTAGAACAAAAATTCAATGATCTTATCTCTAAATGCCATTCACAGGTGGTTTCTCCAACAATTTTTAAATATTTCAAGGTTTTAAACTTCTTGAAGACCTTGTATAGATCCATAGGGTAAAAAACTTCTTTACTGCCAGATTTTTGTGTATGTCAAATGTCTATTTATTGCTCATCTTCTCCCACTACATAAGCCCATGAGGACAGGAACTTTGCTTTTTCACTGCTGTATCTCCAGCACCTCGGATACTGCCTGATACACAGTAGGGGCTCAATAAATACCTGTTGAATGAATGAATAACTACATTCACATCCCCAGGTACTAAAAAACATTCACATATGAGCAAGCCCTGATGACCTTCAAAACACTTAGAGACTTCACAGCAGAAACTAAAGACTTGCTCTGGGGCTCAATCTTTTAGTAAGTGTGATCCTGGCTAATTTTAAAGATAAAAAGGCCTGATGGGGGTTACAAAGGAGGAAGATAAACACTGAACTTGTGTCTTGAATCAAGCTCCAGTATTTACTGACTATAACGCTGGGTAAACCACAGCCTCAGAGGCAGAGACAGCTAACCTCTTCTGATCTCTTCTGTGGTAACATACTGAGTTACAAGCTTCCCATGAATTGTCCCATTTCCTTTTCACTCTAATACCTCCATTCTAGGCAAAAGGAAACCAAGGCTCGGGAAGGTTAAATCGTTTTTTAGGGTTTGCTTTTCTTTCTTAATCTAGGCAACAACTTTATGCTCCATCTGACCTCAGTACCTGAGCACCTAATCACTCCCTCACGTTACAAATCTGAGTCGTGGTTTCCTTAACTACTGAGGTAACTCCTACCTCCCCGCGGGGATTACGGGGAATAAAGGCCATCCCTGCCTGCCTCCCTTCCAGGCATAAAACAGTGCGGCTTTTGCAGGAACTTCTGGGATGAGGTGCCCCAAAAGAAAAACTCTAGGATGGGAGCGAGTGCGACCCCGGCCGGGGCACCCCCATCACCCTGTGATCGATCTGTTCTGGGGGAGTTCGCACCACAGTTCTAGAAAACGGAGAAAGGCTCGGAAATTTCCCACGGTCCCAGAGCCGGGATAGGATGTTTTCTGCGTTTTGAGGATTTTAAAGAAAGCAAACCCCGTGCCAGCAACGACTGAGCCCACCGCGGCCCGGGGGCGGGGCGGTGAGGCCGCCTCCTCCTGGGCCTCACCCGGCACAGCTCGAGACCTGCCGCCCTGAGTTCCCTCTGGGAAGTCGGGGCCGGCTGGGTCGCTCCTCCCCACCCGCCAAATCCTGGCCCCCAAGACCCCGGAATGGGTCCTCACGGAGGTAGCCAAGCCGTAACGCCGCTCCTCGCCCAAGTCCTCCAAATCCTCCATCTCCGCGGCCGCCTGACGTCACTTCCTGGAAACCGACCGGCCCAGCCGCGTCCCTGCTAACAGCCCCGCCCCTCCATCCCAATTTTTAAAGGGTCCGCAGCATCGTTCCTGGATTCTGTACGCCATCCTCCAAACTCTACCGAATCTTTCTTAAACCTGCCTTGCTTGGCATCCGGAAGCAACGTCCAGTTATTAAAACTCGCCAAGCCTCCTCCTTCGAGACGGTAAAATAATTTGGTTGTTAGAAACTGTCTACATTTGTAGCTCTGTTTAAATATATCAATACTAAGTGCAAAGCACTACTGCTGCTAATAGTAGCAATTATAGCGATGCCTCCCATTTGTATAGCTCTTTGCAATGTACAGAGGGCTGTCACAGTTATTGCCTTAACGTGAGAGGCATAACAACCTTGTGTATACGTAATCTCTGCCTTCAAGAAGTTTACAGACGGGCTGAAACGAACACATCAAATAGCTGAGTAATAGTCAAAAGTTCAAATATTCAATATCTTATTAAATCCCAACCATCCCACAAAATGAGTAGCGGTAGTATCTCTAATACAACAACCAAGGACGCTGAGGCACAAAGAAGGCGGCTGAGGACAATCACCTAAGTGCCAAGAAGCAGAGCCAGATGCCCTTCTCACACCAGACATTACTGAAGTATTTTTCTCCGGCACATACTACTGGGTGCCAGCCATCCTCCTAGGCTGGCAGAGGGAGATGTACCACAAGTCCCCAGCCTAGTGGGCAGTTAAGTTGCATCTTTATTGACGCTTCATAAAAGATCTCCAAGTCAATATCACTGGCCAGGTTCCTGGCACTGGTTGGCTGAGGTCCAAAGGAGATCAGCTGATGGTCCTCAAAGCGACAGAGTTTCCAGTATGATGCTGAAGGGAAGGCCTGGATGGCCACAGGTTAAAAGCAAGGACTTGGAAGTGGGAGTAGCACCCCTGAAACCGGATTGCAAGCATTTCTTAAATACCCAGGAAATTACTCAGTTCAATCACACGTTATTGGGTAGGACTGCACGTTAGCATGCCTATGACAGCAAGAGCACTGGCCTGGATGTCAGAAGAGTCGTGTTCTCATCTTAGCTCTGCTGGTAACTACCTGTGTAGCTAGAGAACCCTTTCCTGATATCAGTTTCCTCCCTTGCAATTACTTTAGAGATTATCTCTAAGATCCTTTGTTAACTTGTTTCTCAGTGAGAATACTTTGTTAGATTTTAATCTGAAGAAACATTCGTTGCCAAAAATCCAAGACAGATGAAATACAGGCTCTAATGAATCCCTTGTTCCCTTCTTCTTTGGCACCAGATGAGGAAGAAGGGACTAATCTTTGGATTTTTCCATTTCTTGTAAGCTCACAGCATACCACCATCACCTTATAGTCACTTTCCAGACCTTCACCCCCACTTCTTCCCCAGCTTGCTGAAAACAGAAGGCAAATCATCCTCACTCTGGGCAGAGAGGTACCCTTGAGTAGTGGCTTCCAACCTTGCTGAGCACCTGAATCACGTGTGAGGTTTGTAAAGAAATAGAGATGCCAGCGCCATCTCTGGAGAGTCTGATTTAGTAGACCTGGAGTCCAGAAAAGTATAACTTCAACAATGTTCCTTCCTGTCTTGCAACTGTCTGCTCAAAGCCCTTCCCTTATCGTCCTACATTAAACTGCAACATCCTCCAACCTAGGCACTCCCCATCCTTCTTCCCTGCTTGATTTTCTGCCATGTTGGTTGGTTGGTTGGTTGGTTTGAGACAGAGTGTTGCTTTGTCGCTCAGGCTGGACTGCAGTGATGCAATCTTGGCCCCCTGCAACCTCTGCCTTTCTGGCTTCAGTGATCCTCCTGCCTCAGCCTCCCAAGTAGATGTCTGCGCCAACATGTCAGGCTAATTTTTCTATTTTTGTGGAGACTGGGTTTCACCGTGTTGCTGGGGCTATTTCTGAATTCCCGAGCTCAAGCAATCCTCCCGCATGGGTCTCCCCAGATGCTAGGATTACAGATGTGAGCCACTGCACCTGGCCCAGCACTTTTTACCCTACTGCATCATTTACATATTTAGTCTATTGCCTCCTCCACTGTCCCACCCCTGCCTCTAAAATATCAGTTCCATGAGGGCAAGAGTTTTGTTTGTTTTGTTCACTGATATTGTTCACAGAGTCTAGAACAGTGCCTGGCACGTAGTAAACATTAACCTTTTCCTCAAATTCCAGAGGCAGTATAGCATAGTAATTAAGTCCACAGATTCTGGCAATGTCCTGGGTCCAAATCCCAACAGCTGACACCTAATAGCTATGTGACCTTGGGCAAGTTACTTTTAAAGTTTCTACCCCTAGGTTTCCTCATCAGATACGGAAATGGAAATAATGCCTACCCAAACTAGATAGCCTGTGTAAAATATCACCGCCACCACTCACAAACAGCACTGTGGTCTTTAAAATATATATATATGCCTCAGTTTCCTCATTCGTATATGAGCCACCGCTGTGCTGGGATACAGTAAACAGCCCTTCAGTTAGTGGCCTAGAAACCAGACCTCTCAGAAAGGGTCCAGGGAGGCTGGAGTGAGGTGGGGTGGGAGCGGCACTCACTTTCAGGAAAGTTCAGTTCAGATGCAAGCCCCGTGTTGCCGGGTGCTGGGGGCCACGTGCCCTGCCCTCCCCGTGCTGCTCGCGGGAAAAGGCCTGGAGGTTCGGGCCGAGATGAGCGAAAGCGGAGAGCCAACTTCCCCTCACCCATCTGGGAAATGGGCTCGGGCCAATTGCTGACTTCGCGCTCGCTGGCGCAGCTCCCCGCGGAGCCCTCGGCGGGGAGGGAGGCTGAACATCTGGATGACATTTCTGCGAGAGCGGCTCCGGAGCCGCGGTCGGGGAGGGAGAGGTGCGCTCGTGCGCACGTGGGGCCGGGAGGGAGGCGATTCCCCGGGGCCCGGGTCTTGTTTTTCTCGCTGTCTCCCGCAGCCCCTTCTCCCGCCCCTCCACTGCCCCCAGCCCCCCAGCCACCCTTGCCCGCGCCTCCCCGGCTCCAGACCCGCCGAGCTCCTTCACTAGCGGCCTCGCCTCGCCAGAGGGCACCCTCGATCTTCCGGAAAAGGCCACCATTTTTCACTGCCCCCGGAGCGTCTCCCGGCTTCTGCCCGCCTCTCGACTCCGAGCTTGTCAATGAAGAATCCGGCCAGAATCGCGGCGGAGCGGACGCCGACCCTCCGACCCGGCTCGCGACCGGGAGTCCCCTCCGCGAGGCTGGCACGGCCGACCCTGCCGGGCCCCGCGCCCTCTGCGGACCCTGTCCCGGGTCGGGCCTGGCCCGGGGGCGGCCCCGGGACCGGTGGACCAGGAGGGGGAGAGACGCGGGCCGCGGACGGCGCGGACTGACAGCCGGCGAGAGGGCGCAGGGGCTGGGGGAAAGGGAGGGAGGGGGCTCATCGGAGTAACTTTCCAGAAAAACAGCCAGCGTGTAGCAGGAGTGACTCCAAGAGGGGAAAAAAGTTCAGCTACCACGTCGAACGAAAGGACTCGCAAAGTATTTTTCAAATGGGCTCGGCTTTTCCTGTGCCTGTTTAAAACATTAACATCGTGCAGCAAAAGAGGCTGCGTGCGCTGGTCCCTCCCTCCCCCACCCCAGGCCAGAGACGTCATGGGAGGGTGGTATAAAATTTCAGGAGAGAGAAATAGAGAAAGCAGTGTGTGTGCATGTGTGTGAGAGAGAGAGGGAGAGGAGCGAGAGGGAGAGGGAGAAAGGGAGGGAAGCAGAGAGTCAAGTCCAAGGGAATGAGCGAGAGAGGCAGAGACAGGGGAAGAGGCGTGCGAAAGAAGGAATAACAGCTTTCCGGAGCAGGCGTGCCGTGAACTGGCTTCTATTTTATTTTTCTTCTCCTTTTTATTTTTTAAAGAGAAGCAGGGGACAGAAGCAATGGCCGAGGCAGAAGACAAGCCGAGGTGCTGGTGACCCTGGGCGTCCGAGTGGATGATTGGGGCCGCTGCGCTCGCAGGCCTCCCCCTGCCTTCTAATGCACATAACCCCACACCCCAGCCAATGAAGACGAGAGGCAGCGTGAACAAAGTCATTTAGAAAGCCCCCGAGGAAGTGTAAACAAAAGAGAAAGCATGAATGGAGTGCCTGAGAGACAAGTGTGTCCTGTACTGCCCCCACCTTTAACTGGGCCAGCAACTGCCCGGCCCGGCCTCTCCCCACCTACTCACTGGTGATCTGACTTTTTTTTTTTTTTTTTTAACTTTTTCCCCTTTTCTTTTCCATTCTCTTTTCTTATTTTCCTTTAGGGCAAGGCAAGGATTTTGATATTGGGACCCAGCCATGGTCCTTCTGCTCCTTCTTTAAAATACCCACTTTCTCCCCATCGCCAAGCGGCGTTTGGCAATATCAGATATCCGCTCTATTTATTTTTACCTAAGGAAAAACTCCAGCTCCCTTCCCACTCCCAGCTGCCTTGCCACCCCTCCCAGCCCTCTGCTTGCCCTCCACCTGGCCTGCTGGGAGTCAGAGCCTAGCAAAACCTGTTTAGACACATGGACAAGAATCCCAGAGCTACAAGGCACACAGTCCGCTTCTTCGTCCTCAGGGTTGCCAGCGCTTCCTGGAAGTCCTGAAGCTCTCGCAGTGCAGTGAGTTCATGCACCTTCTTGCCAAGCCTCAGTCTTTGGGATCTGGGGAGGCCGCCTGGTTTTCCTCCCTCCTTCTGCACGTCTGCTGGGGTCTCCTCCTCTCCAGGCCTCGCCATCCCCCTGGCCTCTATTCCCGGCTCACGCATGAAGATGCACTTGCAAAGGGCTCTGGTGGTCCTGGCCCTGCTGAACTTTGCCACGGTCAGCCTCTCTCTGTCCACTTGCACCACCTTGGACTTCGGCCACATCAAGAAGAAGAGGGTGGAAGCCATTAGGGGACAGATCTTGAGCAAGCTCAGGCTCACCAGCCCCCCTGAGCCATCGGTGATGACCCACGTCCCCTATCAGGTCCTGGCCCTTTACAACAGCACCCGGGAGCTGCTGGAGGAGATGCACGGGGAGAAGGAAGAAGGCTGCACCCAGGAAAACACCGAGTCGGAATACTATGCCAAAGAAATCCACAAATTCGACATGATCCAGGGGATGACGGAACACAGTAAGTCCAAATTCTCGCTGGGGTGTCTGCTCTGCAGGGTCTGAACTGGAGCAGGGAGCTCAGCAGAGGGGGGGCCTAGTGCTGGCCACACAGCAGGGTGCCCCAGGATTGACCAGCACTGAGGCTCAGGAGGTGCGATGCTCCTCCGTTGGGGCTGGGGAGGTGGGTGGGGAGGGTGATAGAGCCATTCTGCTAAGAGCCCATGCTTCTGGGAGGTCAGGAACCCTGGAGCTGAACGGCTTGCTGAACTCACATCACATCCTTGACTGATTTTAATTTGGAATTACATTGTGCTGTCCAGGGAAACATGTATTCTTGCACATGCAATCGTATCAGTAACTGTATGCATCTGGGTGCCATAAAGGGGAAGGCCGGCTCTGTCAGGAGCCCTTACAGTTCTGAGCATGGAGACCTCAGTCTTCTCCCTGCTTTTCACAGCTCACTGTGACACGTCTCTGATTCAGTTTTTCCAGTCCTTGGGAAGAAGAGTACCTGCCCTCAATTAATGTCTGTCAAGCTTTTTGAAGCCCAGGCAAGAGACAGCTTCTTGCTAACTGGGCCCTTTGGTCTACCCCACCCACGTGACCCACGAGCCCCACGTGAGCTGTGTGTGTGGAGGGGAGAGGGTGCGCACGAATGTTCCCAGGGCCGGGTACTTTAGGGTAACATGTAGTCTTGTGCAGTAGACAGATTCCTGTGCTCAAAATGGGCGCCCTCCGGGCCGGTGGGCACGGAGAGATCGGGTTGTGGCTCTGGATGCGTAGAGGAGGCTGGCACCCTTTGTGTCTGCGTGTCATGGGAGAGTGGGTGGAGGGGTGGCAGTGGGTGCAGGGCGGGGGGATGTGTCTGGGAGTCTGCTGTCCCAGGAGGCTCCGTTTGCACGGAGGAGCTGGGCGGCTTCTGGGCGAGATGTCTGTGTGTGTTTGTACACGTGTGGAAGTCATATGTGTTTACTGAACGGGGATTTTAAAAACCTCAGTACAAGGGAGAGAAATTTGGCAGATGTTGAGAAACTGACAGCCCAGGAAAGAGGAATGTGAGTTGCTCCTGGGCCATGGACTCCGGGAGCAGCTCTGTTTGCTTTTCCTACCAGCAGGTGTCCTCGCTACCCTTGACTACCTTAGCCCAGGCCCACCTGGGAGGTGGGCAGCACCTGGAGTGGGGTGGAGGGTGTGGGATGGAGCCGGCAGGCAGGGAGGGTGGTCAGCAGAGCGCACAGCAGTAGATAAAAAGAACCTGGCTGGAGAGAAGGAACAGGAGTGGGTACCGATGCGTGGACCATCTCTGGTTGGAGGTGCAAAGGCCCCGTTCACGGCTCCACGCCAGGCAGAGGAGCCTGTGGTTACTGGCGAGGGGTTCCCACTCCAGCTTCCTGTGGCTGCCTGGGGCGCCCTTCCTTAGAATGTGGCTGCCGTGTGGGGCGGAGGCTGGAGGCTGAGGCAGAGCTCCTGCTCCCTGCCCAGGATCTCTGGGTGGGGCTGGCTCAGGAACCCACAGTTCCCAGAGGCACCTAAGCGCTGGATGGCCAAGGCTCCAACTCCCTGGGAACCCACCAAGGCAGGAGATAGTGACCGCAAGCATCAGAGGAAGATTGAAATCTGAGGCCAGGAGGAGAGGTGTGAGGAGAGTCCAGGACAAGACACAGGACTCAGACCTTCATGATCTGGGTCAGCAGGAGGAGTCCAAGGGAGGAGGGATTCTGAGTCACAAGGGCTCCCCCGCCCCACCCCACAAACCCGGAATCCTGAGCTGAGAATGAATGAGCCACATGGAGGCAAGGCCATGCAGGTGCAAGTGGACATTGGTTTTTGTGCAGGCTTGAGGCACAAATAGTACATGGCCTTGGGAAAAGCCCAGGCAGGGCCCCACAGACACTAGACAGCTTCCAGGCTGCAGCACCAAGACCTTACAACTACAGCAGATGGGGGTGGCTATGGGGCTATGGAGCAGTGGTCTGGCCTGGGGCAACCCAGCACAGTGAGCGGGATGCTGTTAGAGATGCTGTGAGGCTCACAGGTGCAAATGGGAAGCAGACAGACTCCACAGCTGTTGGAGGTGAGTTGAAGGCTGAGCTGGTCAGGTGCTGAGTGAGCCCACCCTAGAGAGGCAGACACACAAGGCACACTAATAACAAAGAAGGCAGTGGACAGGTGCTGAGCAGTAGCAGAGAGCCATCATCGGGGCTTGGGGCGGGGAAGGAAGCCTGTCCTTAACTCATGAGGGCCAACAGGGGTAACACCAGGTCTGTGATTGGGCACCGCAGGGTCTCGATGCCAGAGCCTCTGGGGGGAGGTCACGAGATCACGTTCTGTTCCATATGTCCTCACTTCTGGCCACCTCCCTGACCCAGTGGACAGGCATTTGAAGGAAAGTGACGGTAGGAGCCAGGGCAAGGAGATGGAGGTACCTGGAGAGGAAAATGAAAGAAGGAAGACTTTTTAGTGGTGCAGGAGAAAGGGCACCCAGGCAAGAGCAGAGAGGAAGCCCTTTTCCTAAATAACCTTATCTCCCCATTTCACAGATAAGGAAACTGAGACCTGGATGGCTTAAGATTAGTCCAAAAAGAGCGGGGACTGCAACCTAGACATTCTGCAGGCAGGATGCATGCAGTTAAGCACTCATTTATATGTAAAATACACATTGTAAGTGCTACCTTTAACCTTCAGGGTTCAGTAGAACTTTGATTTATAACATAAATGAATCACATGTTGGACCAAGAAGGAGAGGTCAGGAATTATTATCTTAGTAACCCAGGTAGCAGATTGCATAAGGATAACTGGATTTATCCTTTCTTAGCGCTGCCTTTTTTTTT